TAAACGCATAAATAATAGCTCTACCAGCCACCGACGTGAAACCGTAGTCCGTGACACGACCTATTTTATGGGATTATCGTGTAAACGAAAACTCATCACCGCATGACGGCGACGTTGTCGTTGTTTCTCTCTCTTTCTATTCACATGTTAATACGGACGGCAGGTACGGAAGGGCGCTCCGTCGGTGGCTGAATGAGCTTAAGACTATAGTCTTTATATTATAATTATAATAATATATATATATTTTTGTTTTTTGTTTTTGTTTTTTTGTTTTGTTTTCGTGCCTGGTTCCGACAAAAAAAAACCCACAGTGATGTCAGTTTATGGAACATTGGAAAACAATCCCTAAATGCCAATTACATGGGAAGTACCACAATAAGTTTAGCGAATAACTTTAGAAATGTTTTTCGCAATATGCTTTTACAAAAATATTTTCCCGTGTTTATTTAATTTACACCAAGGTACATTGAACAGGTAGTATCAGTAGAGCAGCTGATTTGATTTATTTTCAAATTATTTGGTCTCGAAAATGTCAAATATTTTTAATTTTTTCTCACAAAAATTCTGAATTGTTAAAATCCATTTGCATGTGAAACCTTTTTCCATACAAAACAAGCGATTGAATAGCAGCTTTTGGAGCGTTCGCCCAACTCAGCAGCACAACCGCTGATTACTGGCCCTTGTAAAGGATGGATCAATGCTTCGAGAAGCAAACAAATTTACTAGGAAAGAAAGTTGCAACAATTTTTATTTTTTCCAATTTCAATTTTTTATTTTTTATAATTTTTTGTATTTGACATGGCACGCTTTGATTTAGAAGAAAAAATTCAGAACAGTTTTTGACACTTTCGATACCAGAAGCAACAACAAAATACACGCAAATGTTGTTTTTGCTCTACTGATACTACCTGTTTAAGGTGCCTTGGTTTACACCTTCCAATAGACTTGTTTTACAGCACTTCACTAGTTTTTCTTTGCCATTAATGTAAAATTTTAATTTTTTTTAAAGCTGTTTTTATCACACACTTTTTACCATACATTTCCTGTTTCCGTAAAAAGTTGCGCAATTTTTTGCGTTCGTCCTGACGCATTCAACCTCAAATCTCAACTGACTATGTTACGTAGAGTTGCACAAGTATCCACAGAAATGTACTTACATATACCTATGTACGTAAGTGTGCAACGTTAAATAATGTTAGTCTTTAAGCACACAATTTATTTTTTGATTTTTGCCAGTTTTTGCGCGCGAAATTGCAAAACCAATAATTGTCCACTCGCGCACACTCAACATTCAATTACAATTGAATTCCAGCAAGTGAATTGGTCCAAAGTGGTATTGGGAGGATGCCAACGGCCGGGGCTGGAGTTACAAGCGTTTGCTCGCTTTTACTTTTCAGGAAAAACCACTTTCAGCTTCGTTCGCAGCAGCACATCCGCAGTGAAATGTGTGAATGGAATTGAAATGAGTATTTATTCGCAACTAACTCGTACAGTCGCTATGCAAGGAGCTGTCGCGCTATTGCTGATGGCTGGTGGCTGGCTGTATTTGGTTGCCTCTGTTTTTTTTTTCGTTACTGCTAGATACCAACAAAAAATTGCTGCTTGCATGAAATCGATTTGCAGCTGCACGCGGTTATGACCAGTTGCAAACACGCTACGCATGCGCGCCTAGCAATCGTATTTATAAAGTTGCGGCAGCAAGGCAAGTGACCGAAGAGGCTGCCCACTGCTGTGCAGTTAATACATATGTCGGTACATAAATATGCATGTACAAACATATGTGGGTTGCCGTACTCCACAACAGTGGCGGTCGTTCGGTCGGTCCATCGGTCATGAACGCTTGGGGGTGACCAGGCATCATCAGCTCTGAGTATGCTGCAATTGCAATGGCTGTTGCATTTCTTTGCTTCAACAACATAACACATGAGCTCATCATTTTATACGTTTTGTTGCATGCAATACATGTTTGCTTATTAGAAATTCATGACCACTGCCAACTGGTGTTGCTGACCAGTGCACTGGAGTGGATGAAAGTGTCAGTGATTTTGTGTTACTTTGTTATTTCTGATTTGGTTGCAGTTGGGCCTTTTCGCGCGCATAATCTATTTTCTCGAATACTCTTTCTACATATCGGAAACGCGCAACACGAAAAAAATTGCAACAATGTTCACTTAAGCGCACTGAATGTCTGCACAGCGATGTGTGCTGGTCAAATTGTTGGGCTTACAGGTCAATGCATTGCTTGGCTTGGCTGACACTGAGGAATCTGCGGTAAGAAAATCAAAAATAAACGCCCCATCCGGTTTGTTGTCGGCCATGTTCCGTCATTTGTTCATAATACATCAATTTCTCACTTGCCTTTCGTTAACGACAAACGAATTGCACTAAATTATTCGCAGAAGAGAGTTTTACACAGTTATTTTTGGCCTGCTGAAGTTCATATGCCATCTGTTTCCTATAGCTTTTGTTAATGTAACACAGATAAATACCCAGTCGGAAAAGTAGTAATGCATTACATGCGTGATGAATAATATAATGTATTTCTTATGCGTTCTCGATAATATTGCTGCTAACTATGTAATCAGCATTCCAATGTATTCAAAAAGTTCCAAAAATTTCATATTAAAACTCATTCATTTCTCGATACTAAATAGGTAGTGCAAAATTGAGTGCCCCACTTTTCTTAGGACATCGCCCTGGGGGGAAAAAATGCATTTTCGAATGTGAAAAGGGTTGTTTTACTGATAATTTTTTCGATTACTATACATTACATATTCCTACTGGGTATGCTTGTGTTGCTTCCAATACTGTGAAAGACTCCGTAGGACGCTGCAAGCCCTGAGGACTTTCAATAATCGAATAAGTCCGCATTTTTGCCAATTTAGTACCGAACTATTGAATACTAAAGATGTGCGCCGGATCCGAAACGGTCCCTTTGAGCAACTTAAGTACTCTTTAAACTCACGTCTATAATATAACTGAACTTGGTTTGTTCATAAGGAGAACAAAGATCCCCGAAACCTTGACTTAAGGAAAGAGTAAAGAAAAGTTTTGTAGCCTACTATACCTGCAAGAGGACATTTGGGAAAAACTGTAATTTCTCACCGCACCTCAATTACTGTATGTACACGACAGTCATCCAACTGATGATAGTCTGATGGGAAGCACTGGATAAAAGCGGAAATAATAGTCGAAAGGATGCAGATTAAGGGAATCAAAATTTTAGAAGCAGATCGTAAATGGGCACGTAGCGATCTTCAGTGTATTTAAAAGAAGACGGCATAACGGGATCAATGCTGACTTAGATACCGGCACTGATTACAGTACATCATTTTGGTACTCCCGTTTCAAGATTCGTACCTAGGGATGCAAACGTTGCATCGTTATTTTTGAAATATCGTTATTATCGGTTAAAATTTCGATGTTTGCCATCGATGTTTACAATTTCTTGAAATCGATAATTTGACGACACATCGATGTAAGTTTCAACGATGTTTTAAACATCGACCTCGTAAGGTGCTTACCTATTTTCCCAGTGGGGTCACCTAAACTTCTACAATCGCAAAATTCGCATAGGCTGTCTTTCTTTGATTTCGAATTGTAAACTCATTGCGATCATATTGTACTAGCAATATAGAAGTATTACCTATATGGCCAAAATTGATTTGCAATAAAGCATATTGCTTATCGAGTTGTTCAGAAAACTACATGCGGCATCCTTTAGGCAACTTGGACGTAGGGATGCAAACGATGCATCGATATTTTTCAAACATCGATAATATCGGTTCAAAATTCGATGTTTGCCATCGATGTTTACAATTTCCTAAAATCGCTAAATTGACGATACATCGATGTGGGTAACGATGTTTTAACATCAACTTATGCTCCTAAAATTTTTTGGCTGGCCATGAAGTTTAATACTTATTCTTGTAAGGAACATTCAGAAGTTCCGAGTTTACTCTTATCTTTCGATTTTAAAAATGCTTACTTAGTCATTAAAAAGAGACCGGGATCCCGTTGAAATTTCAACGAAATTGGGCCTTGGAACTTTAGGTTCAGCGAACTTACGACGGCATGCATTTCTATTCTATTTATAGGAAGGGTAAACGAATGGTAAATAAATAAAGGGAATAATTGAATTACAGAAAGTAGGAGTTGAAAAGTGTTAAATTTTCTTTTTAATGTGACTACAAGCTAGCAAATATTGAAACACTGGAAACCATCGATATGTCGATGTTTTTCTGGCAAAGTATTTTAGCATCGATGTTCATTTTTCCGATGCATCGAGACATCGATGTAACTCCAATGAAACTTATTAAAGTGAAACTTTAGTAGCGGGGGTAGTGAATTTAAAAGCTGCAGCGGAAATTGTATAACACTAGCAATGCAACGGAAGTGCCTCCATTTTCCCTATCTCTATTTTGACCTTTAATAAGATAGAGAGTGAATTATCAAAATTTGCTATGCAGCGGATTATGGTCCAGACAAAGGCAAAACCAAATATATGTATACGAAGAATATACGTATACGAACGCGAATACGTACGTAGATTAAGGCGAAGACAAATTTTAAGAAAAATTCGAAGGTGAAGGAAAAACGAGGACGAAGTCGAATACGAAAACGAATATGAAGTCGAATATGCATACGGCTACAAGCAGAAATACAAATACTATGCCAAATAAGAAACCGTATACGAAGTGGTATAGGAACAGTAGTGCGATGTCAAATATGAAGAGGAAGAGGCAGAGAAAGGCTAAGAACAAGACGAAACGTGATTGCGAAGATGAAGGATAAGGCTGAAACGAAGGCAAAAACTAAGATGAACGCGAATACAAAGATGAGAGCAAATACGCAAGTGAATAAGATTACGTAGTCGAATACGAAGACAAATACAAATACGAATTTCGAGAATTTTCTACAAATTCCAGCACCAGCATGCTGGTGTCCTGTATGGGCCCTTTAAAAACTGCATCAGTTTTAAGATTCAAAACATACTCTGCACTTCGAAAACCTGATCAAAACTCGACATTTTAAATTTTTCAAAGTCACATATATATGTATGTAAATATTCGAGCACAACAAAGATAATTCCTGCTGAATAAAATTTTCATTGATTGATGCCTTTTTGACAATTCCGCTTAGCAGCAACTACTATGACGCAGCATTAAATACACGACAAATTCTTGACCATATCACCAAGAGTTCGAGATGCGGTTTGCTATTTTCATAGTTCTATTAGTTAACTCTCAACTTCTTATCGCGCAGGGTTTCGAAAACAATCGTCTACAGGTTTGTACCTTAAGAAGCCACTAACTAATTAATCCTTAACATTCGCCACCATTTTCTGTTATTTTTAGAAACAGCACAGAAAGATGAAGCGCATGTTGCCGCACATGTACGCACAGTTCGGTGAAGAATCTATGCAAAGTGGTGGTGGCACTGGGGATGGGCAACGCGATGGTGGCGTTCCAGGCGCCGGAAATGAAGGCGAATGTAAGCAAAATGCCATGCTGGCCGGAAATGCCAAGCAAAAAGCAACAAGCATTGCGCAGAAGGCAGCCCAGGAAGCCAAAGCTGCATCCGACGCCCAACAGGCGGCTGGCGAGGCAGCTTCTTTGCAAGTTAAGGCGCAATTGGCCGAGAAAGCTATGCAAGCCGCCAAAGCAGCGGAAGCTGCACTCGCTGGCAAACAACAAATCGTGCAACAATTGCAACAGGAAGTTCGCGAAGCGGAGGCTGTGGTACAAGAGGAGAGTAGCTCACTGCAAAATGCGCAACAAAATGTTAATGCAGCGGTGAATTCGGCTCAACAAGCACAATCGCAGTTGAAGACCTTAACGAAGGCTGTGCAGACAGCGCAGTCGAATGTGGGCAATGCTGAGCAGGCAGCTAGTGGCGCACAACAAGAGCTGGCTGAGAAAACACAGCTGGTAGAAGCGGCTAAGATGCGTGTCGAACAGCTGTTGCGCCAACTAAGCTCGGCGCGACAGGACTTTAATAAGACCAAAGATGCAGCGATGAGGGCGGCCGCTGCCGCACACGAAGCCAAGGTGAATGCATCACCGAGTGGTCGTTGTCGTCGTATGATGCGTATGCCACGTAAGCGTCATGCTGTTGCGCCGCCGAGTAAGCAGTGAGGCGGTAATCTGCATATTTGTTAAAAGTTTATTTCTGATTTGTTTTTGTAATATGGTGGTCTATGAATGAGTTGATATATATGTACATATATTAGTGTACGTATGTATTTATGTATGTATATTTTTGTTAAATTACCGAGAACACCGAGAATTCTAACCAAAACTGGTATTTTATTTAAACTTCGATTGCAGTGTAGTTGTTGGAAGCGGTGAAATAGCAAATCAAAGCGAAACATTCAGCAAATTGCTCTTTTTTAATTTAACCCACAAAACATCCTCCTATAACAGTAATTGAAGCTCTGATGCTTAGTTCGTCCTCTGTCTACGTTTATCGCCTTTGTGGCCATATTTGTATTCGTCTTCGCCTTTTGTATGCGTTTTCGTAATCGTCTTTAAATTCGTGTGCATATTCATTTACGTCTTCGTTTTCGTTTTCGTTTTCGCCTTCGTCTTCTTATTTGTCTTAACCTTCCTCTACGTGTTCGTCCTTGCATCCGTCTTCGCTTCAGTGGGAAAACGCCATATCTCAGAGAATTTTTTAAAAATTCCCTATCTCAGAATTTGATTTAAGAACGCTCTATCTCACAATTGGGTCCAAAAACCCCCATTTCTCAGCTGCCGATTCAAAAACGAGCTATCTCAAAGATAGGGCGTTTTTGAACCAAATTCTGAGATAGAGTAGTTTTCAATAAAATTCTAAAATTGGGCGTTCTTCAATCGATCGGACTGGATCGTTTCCTGGTGGACTTTGTCCGCCTTCCCCTCAATCGGAGAACCATCTATTCGGAGATGGTTGGAGCTCACATCACAAGACATGCGTGAACGGACACTCCTCAAGAACATAGTTCACTGGATTTACACAGCAGTGGCACGTCTAAGTATATTGTTATACGGCGTCACAAGCTGGTGGATATCACTGGATAAATTGCTCACAAATTCTGAGTTTGCCAAGGTCAAAGGGCGGCATGTATGCTAATCACAGGTGCGCTGCCATCCTCACCCACCAAAGCGATAGAAACACTCCTAAACTTTCTGCCCGTATACCTTTTTCTGAAGCTACAGGCGAACTGCAGTGAAGTAAGAATAAATGTACTGTCAAAATGGAAAAACGCCAGATTCGATCATACCAACTACTCCGACACACACAGATTATACGACACCATCGATGAAGCTCGAGAAAAAGTATTCCACTTGTATCCATTCGAGGAAGAACTGTGAGCATGACTCGGTCTGGGGCCTCGAAGGTAACTCCACAGCCACCTACACGGAAGGCTTTAAACTAAATCAAGAATAGGGAGTGGGATACACTCGAAGGACTTCTGTACCTTTAGGCTACCAGACCACTCTGCACTCTGGCTTAACCGAATCTTCTCTTAACTTGTCTTCAGTAGCTATATACTATATACTCCGATAGCAAAGCAGCTATCAAGTCACTGGACTGCTGCAGTACCTCGTCTAAAGCTGCGATAGCATGTAGGAAAGTACTTAACGTTTTAGCTTCAAAATCAACTACTCGCATCGTGTGAGCGTGTGGGTGCCAGTCCACAGATATTCAAGGCAATTGTGCAGCGGACGAGCTTGCGATGAAGGGAACCATACTGTCTGACGTCAACCTCTCTCATGCAGCGGTCATACCGTTATCTACCTGTAAGACATGGCTCAGGACATTGCCGACCAATAACTTCTGCCGCAGTTGCTGCGACGTAGACGAAATCGAGAGTGTGGAGCACTCCATCTGCCATTGCCCTGCCTTCATGTGGGCGAGAAGGCGCTCATTTCACCACCACCTTTTTGTCTATTTGGCCGACCTACATAAGTGATCCACGCATTCACGAATTCTGAACCTAACTAACTGGTTCTACTGAATGGACCGGTTCGAATTCGGGCCCTCAATTGGTATCACAACTAGTGTTGCCACACATGGGATTTTCCTACTAAAACTGGTAGGTTTTTTTTTTTAATTTATTAGGTTGGTAAGCTTGATTGGATTTTGGTAGGTTTCACGA